CAGTCTTCCTGGGTCTCCTGTTCCTGAGGATCTGCAGCACCTGGTGCCCGAACCCTCACAGGCAGCCCAAGACTCTGAGCTCCCTCAGGAGTATCTCCCTGGTGGGGACGTTGAGATGGATCAGGTTGATATGGACGACTACACTGTGCCCATGGATGTTGCTCAGGTCCCGGATGTCCTTGACAGTGCGAGCATGCCTCAGTTCATGTTCTCAGTGATTCCGGACCAGAAGCATCACCTGAGTCCTGTTGATTACGGTGAGGTCGGCTTGTTTGCTGCTCAGCTTAAGAGAAAAGCACCCGCTCAGCACAGTAACCCCGATGAGGGGGTAGCCATGCCTTTCGGTGATCGGGAGGTGTGGGTCATCAAGCCCACTTCTGTGGTTGATGATGTCAGTGGCTTGCCTTTGGATCCTGAGAAAACGTGGGTTGGCATGCAGAAAGAGGTGTCTGCTATGCACAACTTGGGTGTCGGCAACGCCCGCACCTATGATGAGATTAAGACCCACTGCCAGGAGACAGGTGCCAAGATCATTAAGTCGCGTTTTGTCTTCACTGACAAGGTTGATGTTGACGATCAGCACATTGTGCGTGCGCGCCTTGTTGCAAAAGACTTTGCTTTCAATCAACCTTCGGCGCTTGACTTGGGCATTGCGAGCCAGACTGCTTCTGTGGAGGCCTTCAAGGCTTTCATCTGTCGTGTTGTCCAGGATACGCTTGTCCTTTGGGGACTTGACGTTTCGACTGCCTTCTTGTATGCCAAGTTGGTTCTTGATACCGTGCTTGAGTTGCCGGGATGCTTTCAGAACCTTGATGGCTCTAAGGTTTACGTCATCCTGGAGAAAGCCATATATGGCTTGAGATCGGCAGGCCTTTCGTGGCAGAAGCATCTTGCTGGACTTCTTGCTGAGTTGGGATTGTTTCCTTCTCTTATTGAACCTACGTTGTACAAAGGGTATTGGGGAGACATCCTTGTGCTTTGTCTTGTGTACGTCGACGACATCTTGCTAGCCACAAGAACGAAAGAGGCAAACCAACAGCTTCTAGACTTCCTCATGGGCCGTCTTAAGGTCAAGTTGACTGGACGCTTGGATGAGGACGGCAGGATCGGATTCCTAGGCCGTGAGATAATCAAGCGTGGCCATGAGATCTTGTTGGCTGTGAAGAAAGAATACGTCGATTCGATCTTCGAGGCTTTTGGGTGGAGCCAGGAGAACCGCAGGAAGATGAAGCCCTGCACTGCACCACCAGACCTCCGATCGATCCTTGACAAGGAAGACCCCGAGAAGCCCTCCGAAGAGCTCTCCCCTGAAGCCGCGAGCCGCTTTAGAAGCACCCTAGGGAAACTAGGCTGGCTTGTGCAAACCAGGGGGGATTTGTGTTATTTTCACTCCATGCTGTCTAGAGGTCAAGCCTGTCCGCGCGCTGTGCATGAGGATTGTATGCGTAAAGTGCTCCGTTGGCTTTTGGAGGTTCCCGATCTTGTTCAGGTCTTTCAGAAGGACTCCAAAGCTCAACCTGGGACTGCAACCCTCGTTGGATTCAGCGACGCTAATTGGGCCTCTGAGCGCTCTACTGGACGGAAGAGCACCAGCGGAGGAGTGATTTACCTGAATGGGAATTGTATCAAGACTTACTCGAGGCTCCAGCCTATCGTAGCACTCTCCAGTGCGGAGTCTGAGCTTTTCGCTATGGTTGAGATGGCGCGCGAGCTTGTAGGATTGGGGCAGCTTTTGGGCCACCTTTTCGAAAGCGTTGCGCAACCCCTATACCTGCCTACGGACAGCTCTTCCGCTCGCCAGGTCAGTATGATGTCCGGCTTCCTGAGAAGGATGCGTCACGTGGACCTTCGTCTTTGCTACTTGCAAGAAGCGTCTCGGTTCAAGGAAAAGTAGCGGTGGGCCCTTGCTTGGGCCTGGGCTGGTTTTTGTTCAGGGCACCCGGGGTTTCCCCCTCCTCTGGTTTCCTCTTCGCCCTGTTCGTTCGGCCTTTGCAAGGTGTAGGGGCGGGGTAGCGGCAGATAGCACCAACCGGTGCTGGTAGTGCCATTGTGCGTCGCCCCGGCTGTCCGGGCTCTCTCAGCTTCTGCCACGGAGCTGCTGCATCTGAAAGCCATTGCGCTCGATCAGGTCATTGATCAGGCTCAGGGACACTCGGCTTACGCGGCCCGTCTCGCTAGCAACTTGTGGCGGCCCTTGAGTGCAGCCAACTTCTTCGTTTCAGCTTTGGAAATTTTGCCTCGGCCCAGCGGTCTTTTGCTGATTGCGTACGCCATCAGGAATTTTCCTACACTGACAGAGGAAGCAGAGAGGGAGCTCGGAGCTCCACTGATCTCGTGCCTGCAAACAGGCCACCTGAGGCTATGAGATCCTGCCGGTTGCCGCAACCCAATCTGATCCTGCAAGTTTGCTTGATTTGCGCTGGATTTTGCCTGCAATTTGCCGCTGATTTTCGCTTTTCGTGTATTTTGCAGTACCAGACAGGAGGCAGCATGCACAACTTTCCATTTGCAGCACAAAGTGCCGAGCAGCCTGCAGCTGCGACGTCCGACAGTGGCCCTTGGAACGATCAGCCAGCCCGATGTGAGGCCTCACCGCCTCCAGGCCTGACGCAAGACCGTCCTCGGAGTGTTTTTGTGCATAGCTCGCCCGGTGCCACCGACAGGCGCTTGGAGAGAGGTTCTGCTGCTCACAGCACGCGCGAAGCTGAAGCTCTGCCACAGAGCCCGCCTCATTCTCTGCACTCCCTGTGGACCCGAGCCCCCACCCTAAACCCTGGCATTCAAACCTGCAGGCCTGATGTACATGAACCGCCGCTGGGAACACACCAGCCGCCACAGCCTGAGTACAGCCAGCCTGTGCCACACATAGTGCCTCCGACCAGTGCTCCGACGAGGACTCTTGCTCTGGAGTCTTCTGCCTACTGCGCACCACCATGGTCTACATGCTTTGGGCTGACACAGCCCCAGTCATCATACTTCGGATTGCCTGGTTTAACCCGTGACCTACTTCCTGCACAGTTTGCTTGGCTACCCGGCAGGTACGCAGCGAATCATGGAGAGCACCCTGGAGCCTCGCCCACTGCTTGGGTGCAACTGCCTGAGCCTCCTGTGATCTCCGCTGCTTCGGACTCGTCGGATTTAGGCGGTTGTTACTTGAGTGGGTTGGCAGCCAAACCGAACACAGTGAGCCCTAGGTCGCAGCAACCACCTGCAGGATGTACTCCACGGACTGCCGCATTGTTAGCATACCCGCTTGTCTCGGCCCCCACCCCGGTCCCCAGCTCGACACTGCCACTCGACAGGACCACAACGGCGGAGCTTCCGCCACCTTGGCCGGCCAGAGCCCTGCCGAATACATCTGGAGCTGATGCCGCAGTCGTGTTAAGCATTGGCATGCTGAGACCTCCGCCGGGTCTCCCGGATCCGCTGCCACATGCTGGCAACTCTGCCGGAGCCTTTGACGAACCACTGGTGACACCCCAGGCTGCGACCGCACTGCCACAGGAAGCTGCATCCTTTTCCGATGCTCCCCGCCCGGCTGCTGCCGCGGGCCCATTGCACACCCTAAGCACCAACGCTGCAAGCGCTGATGCTCGAGGCCACCTGGCGAGCTTCTCGCCAACAGCTAGGCCCACCGCTACCGCCGACGGTCCCACACCGACAGGCCCCGGTCCCAAGTCCGGGGGTGGGAACCAACATCACTTCACAACACCTGCACATGAACCCACAGACGCGAGGGTTGGACTCAGGACCGAGAGTTCAGAAGCCCCCTCAGGTTTCACCACGGATGATGCCAAGGCGAAGTCAGGTCCATATGCCCCAATGCATCACCGCAAGAAAGCACTACATAAAGCACAGCGGCAAGCCTCCCAACATGGCTTTGCTCTGTACCGCGGTCAGGTGCTTTCTTCTTTACATTTGCAAGCACCTCGACCGCACGAGCCTTCCACTGCTTTGTCGTCTGCACAGTCGGCCCCTCGGGACCTTACTGGGCGAGCGCAAGCAATGAGCAGCCAACGTCGGCAACACCGGACCCGCCGATGCAGACTTGTGTCGTGGAACTCCAGCGGCCTCACCTCCCTTGTGTGGGCCGAGCTCAAGGCCTGGATGCAGGCACACCTAGCCTCTGTTGATGTACTGTGCGTTCAGGAAACTTACTGGAGGGACGACTTACACTGGCAAGATTCCCATTGGACGTACATACACCACGGCTGTGCACAGGGTGCCGGGCTCCTAGTATGCGTGTCCAAACGATTTGCGCCAGAGGCCTCCCTCAGACACACCCCTGTAATCCCGGGAAGGCTGCAGCATCTTCGCATTTTCCCGGCCGAGGGTCATCAGCCGCTCGACTTGATACATGTATACCAGTTTGCTTGGCATCACCGGAAAAAGGACAACACCCATGATTACTGGGCCGACTGTCTTCACAGACGCGCCGAATACCTTCACAAGCTGGGTGCCGTGCTTAAAAGCATACCACGACGAAATGTCCTTTGCCTGATCGGCGATTTTAACACGCAGCTGCCGACAAAGGCGGGCATTGTTGGAACGGGGATCCCTCCCACTCCGGGCCCCCAGCTGGATGTGCAGGACCTGCTTCATGTGCTGGAGACTTATGGTCTCATTGCATTGAATACCTTTGGCTCTGCCCCGGGTAGTACCTTCATCAATGACAGTAACAGCACTCAGTCGCAAATCGACTACATCCTCGCTCGAGCTGCCCACAGTGACCGCCTCAGCAGGCAGGCCCAACCACTTACTGTTTGGCCGGTGGGCACAGGCCGTCTTGGCATGAAGCACATTCCCGTTGCCGGCTCAATCACCCTGGCCTGGTGCCCCTGGCAACTGCTATCACGACCCCAACCCACTGTACGCCCGCATCAGGTCGTCGCTGCACTCCGAGCTGACCCCTCTATCGAGGCCACCTTTGTGGATAAGCTTCGTGCCCAACTGCCGGCAGCAGCCACTTTAAAGGACATCGACCGAGCATTGCAGGACACATGGCTTCAGCTCCGCCCGAACTCGCGGGCGGAGCCCTCGGCACCGGTTGGCGCAGCAACTGCACCCACCCAGACGGACACATCAACACTGTGGTGCCCCGGATCTGGGAGCTCCGCGCGGAGCGCCGGCTCCTCGCACAGGATCGCAGCTTACATGGACAGCTTGCGCACTGGCGGGTTTCAGTGCGAATTCAGGAGCTTGAAAGAGTTGCCGGAGCCGCCCGGCGGCGTCGCAAGCGCCAATTCCTCCTTGAACAAATGGAACAGGCCGAGGCTGCGGCTCAACGGGGACATCTCACTGCTGTTTACGCTGTTGTACGCCGCCTGGCACCCAAGAAGGCCTCTCTCAAACTCCATGTTCGTACACCGGAGGGCCACATGCAGGGACCCCGGGCAGAGCGAGACACGCTTATAGCCCATTTTCGCGAGCTGTACCAGGCTTCTTCGGCCCAGCCTGGCCGCGCCTTGCCCTGCACGGAGCATCTGTTTACAGAAGGTGCCTGCACTGCTGCTTTGATGCGTCTCCCAGCCCAGAAAGCCGCGCATCCCAAGTCGGCTCCAGGAGTGCTTTGGAAGCTTGGTGCCTCGATACTGGGCCCGGCGCTCAGTCACATCCTGAACAACTCCTACGCCAATGTGCCCAGCAGCCTCCCTCTCGAACTTCGCCAGGTTGCCATGTGTTTGGTGCCGAAGCCGGGACGTCGAGCCCAACAGCCCTCGGATGCTAGACCGATCAGCCTTTTACATCCTGCCAACAAGGCGCACGCCTCAATGCTTAATGATCTCCTGGCCCCCTTTCTTGTGCCGTACCTGGCCACTGCACCCCAATTTGCATACTGTCACGGCCGATCCACCATGGAAGCACTCCATCGAGTTTTCTCACACTTCCATGCTGTTCGGGCTCAGGCCCCCACTCGCTCTCGGATGGTGCAGCGCCGACGTGACAACACCGCTCGCCACCCATGCACTGGCGGCCTCAGCTTCTCGTTGGATGTGGCTCAGGCCTTCGATTCAATACCCCGTTGGGTTGTCGTTGCCGCCCTACGAGCTGCGGGGACCCCGGAGGCCATTATCACACAGGTCGTAGCACTGCATGCACAGATTCTTCTCGAAGTTGACCACGGCGGCGAGGTGGCTACTTGTCACACGGCTCGGGGCGTGAGACAGGGCTGTCCGCTGTCGCCCTCTTTGTGGGCAGCCGCGACCACCTTCGTCTACCACCGCCTTCTTGAAGAGCTCGGCCCTGATGCGGCTCAGGTTCTCACAGTCTTCGCTGATGACATCATAGGCCAATGGCAAATCACCTCACTGACAGCACTGCAGGACAGCTTGGACCAGATCCGCCGGCTGACTCGCGTGCTCCAGCATCACGGGTTCCAGGTCAGCCCCAAGAAGAGTGTGATATTGCTTCAGGTCATTGGACCCCATGCCGAGAGATGCCTGGGCAAACTCCGCTTCCGTGACCAAGGTGTGGCAAAGATCAGAGTGGCACCGGACCTCTCCTACCCGGTGGTTAGAAGGCACACCTACCTCGGAATGATCATTGGCTACGGGGCTTTTGAACGTCACTCGGTTGACTATCGCTGCAAACGAGCTGCCCAGGTCTTTGCACGTTTACGGCAGGTGCTCTGTGGCAGACACGGCCTCAGCCAGCATAACCGACTCCGCCTTTGGCGTGCAATTGTGTGGCCCTCCCTTAGGTACGGTTTAGCTGCTCTACCTCTAGACCCGAAGGAGCTGCAGAGAGTGCGGGGCTTTGCGGCACGGCACCTCCGCGCTATTACACACAACCTGGGCCACGAAACGCATAAGACCAATCAGGAGCTTTTTGACGAACTCGGCCTTCACCCGGTCAGCCTCTTGAGACGGGAGGCCCAAAACAATTTCACTCGGTTCCAGGCCCTCCCTGACTTGCTACGCCTTGAAAGGACACGTCAATGGCATGCTCTGCTTTTGGCATCCCTGGTGGAGCCATCGAAGCAAGAGGCCGAGGACACAGGTGCTCCTTCAGACCTAAACCCTCCTCCCAAGGATGCCTCGACCCGAGTCGGCATGCGCCGCCATCCACGTGAACAGCCTGAAGCCCAGCATGTAACCCTAGTCGAGATCGATGCTGTCGCCCGCCCCTTTGCTTGTCCGGATTGCCCTTGCACCTTCGCAACAGCAGGCATTTTGCACACGCATCGGGTCAAAAAGCATGGGGCGGACAAACGGAGCAGCACCAGACGCACGACACAGCAGCAAAATCAGGTCGAACACTCCCTAGGCGGGGTCCCAACTTGCCGCTATTGTCTTACTGAGTTCAATGGCTGGCGTAATTTTAACTCGCACATTCTCTTCAACAATTGTCCGAAACGACCTGTGGACTCCGCGAATGCTGTTCCCACGGTCAGCGAGCAAGTTGAAGATGCCCATCTGCTAGGACATTCGTGTCGGGATGGGAGTTCCGTAGTGCCTGCCCACCCAACCTTGGAAGTGCCGACCACACGTCAGGCTGCCTCCGACTTCCACGCCCGCCTGGTTGCTGAACCGGCCATTGCAGCTCTTGACCCTGCTCGCCAGAAAGATTGGAAGCACATTGCTGGACTCAAGCCACTGCATGCCCGCATGGAACACCATTGCCCTGAATGCAACCTTTGGGCAGCTGACTCCTCTAGGGTTAAAGTACACTTCAAAGCTAAACACAAGGACCTGCGCGAGAGGCTCGAAAGCACGGAGGTTCAGGCGAAAAGCATAGCTGTGGGCAACCCCTGCCGATACTGTGGCAGGAGCTACCGTTCCGCGCCCAGTCGGCATGCAGTAGGATGTCATGTGCTTTGGCAATCTATCTATGCCAGCCTAGAACCTGCCAACCCCGCACTACCCCTGCCCTCATCATCGGGCCTCTCAGGTTCTGTTGAATATGACAGCAGCCGCGATGGAACAGGAGGAACAGCAGGAGTGGGACCTCTACTCCAAGTTCATGGGGACACTGCCGGGAGCCAAACCGAGCAGGCCCTTGCAACCGGCTCAGGGGAGCGAACAGCCACCGGCGAAACAGCCGAAGACGCAAACGCAGACCCAGCAGCAGCCGAAGGGCAAAGGAAAGGGAAAACGGGGCGGCGGCAAAGGCAAAGACCACAACAAGAAGCAGCTCACCCAGGACGAGAGGCAAGAGCTGACGGACCTTCGTCAGCTGTGCGAGCAACTGATCAGGCTGGCCCTTCGACACGAAGACGGCCTCAAAGCGCTCCAGCTCGACACCTCCTTTGTGATTTGGTTGCGAGTGGGGCTACCGGGAGGCCTGCCAGAGAGTCTCCACCAGAGCGCCGAGGCATGGCGAGCCGACCGGGATCAGGGTCTGGCCCGCACCTCCTTGCGTCATCAACTGTGGCTCCATCTATGGAAGGAATTCCAGCGACGACTCACCCCGGAGCTCCTGACAGCCGAGATCCAGTCCATGATGACGAAGTTGGGCTATCTGAAGGACGGACGGTGGGCCTTCCTCCGCTGGGAGGCCAACGCGGAGACGGGTGGCCGACTTGTCCCGGACGCGGAGAAGCAACCGCTCAACATGCAGGAAGTTCGGGAGAACGTGGACCACATCGTACGCCTGAGCCAGGACGCGGATCTGATCACTCGATTCTGTCCCACCCGTCCACTGGCAGCAGAGCTTCGGGGACCGTCAATCACATTCCTGTGCTCAGTGGCAAACCGCTCGACGCCTTCGGACCAGCTGCACGCAGCCCTGCAAACACTTTGCGCCAATGCCAGCTGCCAGGTTTTGGGCATGGCGATCAAGCCGGAGCGCTTGGCGCGCAGCCCTCTGGCCAATGCCCTGGCTCGACAGCTCCCGACTGCTCAGCTGGAGCCTCAGCTACCCCTAACTCTCCCACCGTTCCTGTTGCGCAGCCTTCTGCATCTCATACCCTTCCTAACGCCCCTAAAGCCCTTGTCGACCCTAATACCTCTAATGCCGTACGATCTGCCCATGCCCGACCCCCTCAGGTGAGTCGACTGAGCCTCCTGAAGGCCAAGCTTTTGAACAGGTCCAATGTGTGCTACTCCAATTGCACCATGTTATGCTTGCTTTGGCTGCAGTGCCAATGTCGGCAGGATCTCCTGCCACGTGCTTTACTTTCGTCCCTCGAGGCCCTGCTAAAGGCTGCCAAGCCTTTTTCACTGTGGGATCTTTGGCAGTTCAAGCAGCTACTACGTCATTGGAGGGATCCCGGACGGCAGCATGATGCCGCAGAGTTTATCAAATCATACCAGGCGGGGGCTGACACGAATGGTTTGAGCGGTGTCTGGCAAGCACGCACCACTGCAGGAGAAGTGCGATTTCTGGGAGACACATCTCCTCTGCCTCTGTCAGTGCCTCTGACCGACGGCGCCACTGTTCAGCAACTCGTGACAGCCTGGAGTGCCCAAGACCAGGTACACGCGCTGTGGCGACCTCCTGAGTGCCTAGTCTTGCAGCTTTCGCGATATGGCCCACGTGGCAAGCTTCACACGCACATTAGCCTTGATGATGGAGTGGTGCAGTTTCCTTGCTTTGTTGCTTCGACTAACCATGTATGCCACGTCGCTTATCAGCTGCAAGCAGCTGCAATCCATTTGGGAAGCACTCCCCACGAGGGTCACTACAGAGCTGCCTTGTTTGACGAAGGGAACAAACTCTGGTATGCTGATGATGGCAAACATGCCACTTTAGCCAATGCCAAAACCAAGAGTGAGATCCAATCCAACTGTTATGTGCTTTACTTGACTCGTGTTTGATCTCGAACCGCTCGGTAGTGGCTGCCAGCTGTGCCACGCCGTGCTCAGTGAACACTTTTCAGCCTTCAGCCGATTGTCCAAGTGTACTCTCTCTCTCTAGCCTTGCTCGTTGTGGCCAGCTCCTGGCGTTGGGTGCAAAAGCAGGTGTCTGTCCTGACTGCAGTTGTGGACACACACCTCTTGTCACAACCTCCAAGCAAGCGCTTTTGCAGTCTGCAGACGCAGTTGTAGTTTTGGTAGGCTTGTAGTTAGATCCGTAAATCGGATCTCGTGTAGTGCTCTTGCTCTTGATGCCAAGCGCGCATCTCGGGCTCGCTAGTGGACAGCTACTCGTCCCGCGGCTTAAAGTAAAAAAGCTACTTGCAAGATAAGGTTGAGAACGGCAAGATCCTGGTTACACACGTCCCAGGAACAGATAACGTCGCCGACTTGCAAACAAAGAACTTGAGTGTCGCGCAAACTTGGTATCATATAGGACAGTTGTGTCTTGAGGAACGTCTCACCCGTAGTGACTATCTTCGAGGTGATGCGCCCCCGGTCCGTTGCCTTGTGTTTGCCGCGTTCAAAGGTCTGTTTTCTGCAAGCGTCGATGATCCTTGGAGTGTGTTGGTTGGTCGTTGTCGGTTGCAGACACCGCATTGCATTGTGATGGTCGAGTTCTGCACCTCTGGAGAAGCCTGGTTGACTAAGCTTGCTAGCCACTATGGCATCCATGCTATTCCCGTGACGGAAGAAACGGATGGGACTCTTCCGGAGACCATCGAGCTCATTGAGCACGCCCTTCGTGCGGCACACCGTCGGAACATGCATGTTGTTGTGTGGGCCTCGACGCCCTGTACCGGTGGTTCGCCTTGGCAGCGCTATCACCAAGCCCGATCTGCAGATCACTATGATGAAAGGATGAAAGGACTTTTCACAGTCCACCGAAAGCTCTGGAAGAGCTTCTTGAAGCTAGTCAACACATCTGATTCGGCAACTTGGGTCATTGAGTGGCCGCAACGTTGTGCTTACTGGGGATGGTCCGCTACGAAGTCATTCCTTAAGATCAATCCGCATGAGACCGCTCTTGTGCATGGTTGTGCCTGCGGTATGGTTGGAATGGACGCACTTCCAGTGAAGAAGGTTTGGAGGTTGTGCTCGAACAGTCATGTTCTCATTCACTGCATGGATAAATTAAAGTGCCCTGGAAACCACGAGCATAGTAAGATGTTCGTTCTGAAGAACACCCAGCACTACCCCGAAGCTTTTGCTCACACAGCTCTTAGGGCTTTGAGTGCTTGGTAGGTGCTGACGCCTCTTTGTACAGCCGCAGCCGTTTTTGGAAGAGCCATAAAACTATCGTGGACCGTGAGAAGATCTACGAGCCCAATACGCAACAGCAGCCACTGGACCGGTACCTTTTCTCGACGACAGGTTCATGAGGGGGAGTTGATTTTCAATCCTATAATGGTGCCCCTGTGTCTCGCCAAGGTCAGGAATACTTTCTGTTTTCTCCTTTGTGAGTTTTAGAGAACCTTAGGTGTAGGTGTGAACGGTAGGAGTAGGGAAAAGTTGTCTGTCTGTCGGTCGCTGCGCTCACGCTTCCTGTCTCACCTTGCGGTGAAAGTGATCAGTGTCAGAAGCGTGTCCAACCGGAGTTTTCCTCACGAGTTTTCACGAAGAATGGTGTTTCCCTGAACTTTCCTGAAGCATGATGAACATCAGAGTGTTTTCAGTTTGTTTGCTGTGAGAACGGACTTCTAGACGAAGTCCGGGGAACACCTGGGCCGTAGCAGAGTTGCCAGTGCAGAGAAGCCGTTAGGAGTCCTTAGGACTTACCTCGGAAGTGAGTGTGCTGAAGTCTCTGTCCGCGCCCCGTTTCACTTGGCTCAAGACTTGCACTGCGTGACAAGCGCGTGGTGAACAGTTGGTTGCGACGAAAGGTGTAAAAGTGCTGTTAGCTTTCACTGCTGTAGCCTTGCGTGACGTAGTCAGTCAGTCGGCTTGCACCTCCTTTTACTAAACCTAGAAGTGTGCCTCAAGGCGCGTTTGGGTTTTAACGGTTCTCAACCAGCACAAGCTATGAGATACAGAGAACCACGCATTCACTGGGGATCTTGGCCTTCGCGTCTCAGGCCAAAGCAATTCTAGCTTGCACACCTGGCTTGCGCCAGCTTATTCAGAACTTTAGTACGCCGATCTGCTCCAGCCTACATTCCGCTTCATTTGTGTTACGTTACAAGAAATAACTTCCTGCTGCCAGGGCTGCGTTTCCTAGCGGAAGTCCCGCCAGACTGAGTTGCACAACAGAGCGTTTCATGGCGCGTTGGCCTTTTTCGCTGGATTCCATTCAATTTCACTTTTTGTGCAGGTTTGTGTGTTTGTTGCTCTTTTTTGCTGCATTTTTTCATCTTCAGCACATTTTTGTGTGTTTTAAAGGCTGTTTTGGGTGGGATTCCGGTGGGTTCCAGTGGGTTCCAGTGGGTGGTGGGCTCCGGTGGGCTCCGATTGTCACCTGAAAACTTTGCCAAATTTGCCACTGTTCCGGTGGAAATCCACTCCTTGAACCCCGAGCAACCAATTCTCACCTGAAAACCACCAAAGGTTGCTGGTTTTCTGGTGGAAATGCTTCTCGAAGCTATTATGCGTTTGCAAAATGATATTTCAAAGCAAATCCAAGCATGGATTCCGGTGGCTGGGTTCCAAGGCGCTTGGGGCTGGCCCAGACCCACCTGTGTGGCCTGCTCAGAAGGTCAATTTTCCACCAAACACCTGCAAAAGTTCAATTTGCTTGAGTTTGCTTCAAAAATTGCCAAAATTTGTCAAATGGCAGAATTCAGTTGGAACTTGATGGAATTGCAATTTTCTGGCTGCCAACGCCAAACGGATCAGAGAGAAGCACCTCTCCATAAAATCTGCTGGTTTACCGATCTTTGTGTCCGTTTCACTGGAGCCAGGGCACTGTTGCTGAGTGCTCAGTTTTGAAGGCAGAAAATAAACACACTCAAGGCTCTGCTACCACGTGGAAAGTGATCGGAGAATTGTGCTGTGAGAGCCAAATCTACATGCACTGAATTTGCTTCCATTTTCTCGAACAGTCGGCAATCTATCATGTTTACAACCCAATTATCATTTCAAACTTCAAAAACTTCAAGACGCAAGATTCAGGCCTCACGAGTTCTGGAATTGGGGGTTCACGATCGAAATCAAGACTTCGTGATTGGAACCGAGGGAGCAGGCGACCAAGGGAGACACAGGGAGTTGGAGGGAGTGACTTGCCCCACCGTGCAGTTTCGTCGTTCGTAAATGATAGACTATAGACTCTGATTATGATGATCTGATTATCTGATTGACAATTGACAATGTAACATGTAAAATGACATAATATGCTCGGAAACATTTGTCGAAAAACGAAAAAGTCATGGATCATGGCATCATGGCAACGGAGAAGTCATAACAATCCTAAATGACAAGTAATGAGAGAACCTACAAAACAATCAAACACTTGTTATAAAAAGTTGATAAAACTTGAACTTTGACATCTTGAAATCATGATCATGAGAAGAATCTTTCTTGCAAGTTTTTTTGAACCATTGATTCACGGAGCGAACTCCAAGCACAATCATCCTTTCTCACTGTGCCCGTTTCTTTCATGTTGATTTAATGTACTTCTATAAGAAAGCAAGGCTCGGCTTGGAAGCCTTAATCCTGAAAGCTTGTTTTTTTCCAAGCTGGACGCGCGCCTGTGTGCCACAGTCGCCTGTTGTGTAGCAGTCAGGCGGACGTGCCTCAAAGTAGAAGAATTCGCGACCCCCCAAAATGGGGCCGTTTGGCGGCCCCATTTTTGGGGTCGGGGTTCCAAGCCTCCAACTCATGCTCAAACTATATATTTAATGAGGCCGGGCGCATGTCGCAGCCCTGTTTTCGGGGCCGCGAAACGGCCCCATTTTTGGGGTCGCAAATCGCAAATGTTCGGGGCCAACCAGCTGGATCTCGGGCGTGCGCCTGCCTGCCTTTGTTCCCGCAGTTTTGGGCATCATGCAGACGCAAGATTGAAAAGCCAGAAGTCTTGTCCAAAGCAGCTGCACGCTCACCTTAAATGCCACAACCAGCGGATTTGCAACTGTGCCCGTTTCTTTCATGTTGATTTAATGTACTTCGATGGCCTGGCTCGGCTTGGAAGCCTTAATCCTGAAAGCTTGTTTTTTTCCAAGCTGGACGCGCGCCTGTGTGCCACAGTCGCCTGTTGTGTAGCAGTCAGGCGGACGTGCCTCAAAGTAGAAGAATTCGCGACCCCCCAAAATGGGGCCGTTTGGCGGCCCCATTTTTGGGGTCGGGGTTCCAAGCCTCCAACTCATGCTCAAACTATATATTTAATGAGGCCGGGCGCATGTCGCAGCCCTGTTTTCGGGGCCGCGAAACGGCCCCATTTTTGGGGTCGCAAATCGCAAATGTTCGGGGCCAACCAGCTGGATCTCGGGCGTGCGCCTGCCTGCCTTTGTTCCCGCAGTTTTGGGCATCATGCAGACGCAAGATTGAAAAGCCAGAAGTCTTGTCCAAAGCAGCTGCACGCTCACCTTAAATGCCACAACCAGCGGATTTGCAACTGGGGAGGCCCATTGTGGCGAAGCCAGAATTGCTTTCGTTTCGTGGGCCCAGAAACGGGGTCGTCCGCAGCATCATTTCTTGGGCTCATCCTGCTTCTATATCCACTGGAGATCAGTGTCAGTTTGCAATGTCATCGAGGTATCTCGAGGATCTTTTTAAGCCAATCGAGATCTTTGACGTTTATTAGGATGCATCGCTGCGACACGATCATCGAAGCTCCTGTCTAGGATTGCCAAGATCTATGGCTCTATGGAGTCAGCAATAGCCAATAGCTTGCAAGATCATCGAAGCTTGTTGAAGCCTTTTTCTAGCTCCAGCAAGTGGACTTGGAGCCAGCTCCGGCTTAGAATTCTCTGTAGTAAAGAAAGAAGAAAGGCAGCCCACGTGTTCGTTCAGGTCCGAGGCTTCTGGTG